GCCATGAAGTATGGGGTAGCCTTTTCTCAACTTCAGTGGCAGGCATCGAACTGGCAGATGGCTCTGTCCATTCTACGCTTCATGGAGTCCCAACAATGCAGGCATCGTGGTAGACTTTTGGGCTTCGGGTTGAGGGTTTAGGGTTAGGGTTAGGGTTCAGGGTTTAGGGTTTTGGGGTTTGAGAGCTCCGGGTCTTGGCTTTGTGACCAAAGGTTTGCTTGCGTTTTGGCAGTTAGAGTTCAGGTCCATGGCTAGCATGAGCTACGGCCTAGGTCAGCCTGTAGCAAGGATCTTCAGAGATGGTAGTTGCAGTTGGGCTCCGTTTTACACTTCCACAGACGAGCTCTAGTCCAAACTCTTTAGAGGGGGGTTATATAGGGGATTAGGTAGGGGAGCTTTCTAGGGGTTATCAAGGGGGATACTAGGACTGTCCTTGCTTCCCAGGATTGATGTCCAGGCGCACATGGGCATTGCCGAAGAAGTCACAGAACATCCTCGACTTTTTAGACTAACCCCTTGCCTGGTCCTGCGGATTGTAAGCCTGAATGCGCAGTTTCCTTGAAGAGTCTCCTGAAATTGGCCCTAAACCCTAAACCCTAAATCACCTGTAGGCTTCTCTGACCTTTGGGCTTCATTTGAGTGCAAACCAAGCCTGGGCTGGGTCACATTTGGGTCTACATGGTCTACAATCTACAGTTAGGGTTTAATTAGGGTTTAGGGTTTAGGGACCACTCTTTAAAAGGGGTTATATGAGGAATTATGCAAGGGAGGGACTACTATAAGGATTATTGAGGGCGATACTAGGAGTTTAGACTAGAGCTCGCATGGTTTAGGGTGTTGGGTTACCAAGGGGTTCCGGAACGAAGCCAAAACCCTAAACCCTAATCCCTTAAGCCTAAGTCCTGAAAGCCTGACTCGCTGAATCGCGAATGCTTGAAGCCCACAAGCCCCAAATCCTTCACCCTTAAATCCTAAACGGTAAGGCCTAAACCCCAGGGCTGATACAAATCAAACCCCTGTTCCCCGTCAGTAAACCTGCATCCTAGATCCAGCCCCGAATCCTAAATTCTTAAACCCTACGCCCCAACTCGTGACCCCCATTCCTACTTGAAGAGGCCTGGCCTAGTTTCGATGAATGCAGCTATAGCCGCATGCCGGAGCGGCGCTCGAGGAACTGCACTGGCACTCTTGGAGGCGTTCAAGGGTTTGGGGTTATGGAAAAGAAAATGGAAACTACTGTAGTATATAGGGGTTATATAGGGGTCATATTGCCGTCATGGCAAATAAAATGAAAACTACTATTTAGGGTTCAGGGTTTAGGGTTTGGGTTTAAGGCTTCAAGTGTTTATGGTCGAAGCGCATGAAGCTTAAGGTTGAAGGGCTCATTCTAGACGGTTCTGGGGTTCTTTGCTTGGCTGGGCTTTACAACTTAGGAGTCGACTATTTTTGTAGAGTCTGCAGCATTATGGTAGGATCCGTGCTAGTCCGCTCTCATGGGGGCTTCCCAAGATAAAATCCCTGATTGGGTGGCAGTGAAGGGTTTCGGGTTGTCAAAATCAAGCAGGTTGGGCTCTACTTTCATTCCTATCTGGTCCCTTCCTACAACAAAGGCTCCCCTTTGACTAGGCCCCTGATGTGTCCTCAACTGAGCATCATTTGAGAGGGGGTGAGTGTTGGGGACTGTGGGTGTATGCAGGTGCATGGAAGACCCAGATCTAGACGATGTAGCGAAGCGGGAAGAGCCACCTCACCTAAAATTGCGCTCAAGGGGTTATATAGGGGATACATAGGGGTATAGGGGTTATATAGTGGTTACGTAGGGGTTACATAGGGTTTATATAGGGGATATATAGGGGATAGTACTGCTTGACTAGCATGATCTGGTTTTGGTCGGGAAGCTGGTTTGAGTTCTGAGCAAAGTGCTATCAGGTTTGCACCCAGAGCCTCTACATGCCTGCAGCCCCCCCAAGATTCCAAAGCTAATTAACAGGGCCCTGCATTTGAGACCCTGAACTCTGAACCCACGAGCCTAAACCCCCAAAATCCCAACAGTGCAAATCTCCAATTTCAGAAGACCCCAAGGAGGTTGGTCAGAGGCGACTGGAGGCAGATATCGTTACGGCACCTGGGCGCAAAATCAAAGGCTAAAGTCTGGGTAATCCCAAAATTTCATTGGGATGACCAAAATTCCCTTCTTAGCCAATAGCAATTACCCTCCAGTCCCTTCAAGGATGGTGGACTGATAGTTCAGGTTGGGGGGTTTGCCCCCACTCCGTAACAGTTGGAGAACATGAATATACTTATATATAGCCCTTAATACGAGCTGTTACAGGGTAGGGGCAGTAGCCACAGGTTAGATTTTGAGTCTAGAGTTCCTCAAAACAAGGGTACTGTTTGGGGTCCATTGTAGGCGGTTTCTGTTGGGTGCGGTGTCATCCCCAAGTTCCGTGGCATGGTCTGGCTCTTCAATAGGACTACAAGGCAATGCTACTCCTAAAGGGTGTAGGGTTCACTAGTAGTAGTTCTTCAGGTTTTGTGCTACATGTGTAAGGTTCTAGTAGTTTGGGCAGGGTGGTAAGGGAGTTCGCAACTTTAGGGTTGCAAATTTGATGAACTTCTTTGAGTTAATTTGAGGTTTCGTGGCTTAGCTGGGTGCCTGGGACAATGGAGCGTTGAGGAGCATGGAAGGCAAGTACATGGGGAGAAGCCCTCTTGTCTACATGCAGGGCTTGGAATATTTGTCTTCGAAGTCACGATGCTCTAGCCTCATAAGTAAAGTGAATATTCTCCTTTCGGTTAGAGTACTGTATACAAAATAGAAGTGGATTTTGGTTCAACCAGCAAAACCACTAATTGCGGTGAGAAGATGTCTAGTGGGTCTACCGATACAAGAACCAAGGAGCACCAACGGCCCCTTCTATGGGCTCAAATACGATCATGAGGGGATATTCGTCTCAGTAGTAGGCCTCTTCTGATATGATCATAGAGAACTGGGTGAAGCAGGGACTGCGGCTGGGAGCTATGGATCCAACATTGGGACACAGGTCCGTCTGGCTGTTCGGGATGAATCACTTGGCTTATTCTCACTGTACTCCTACATGCAATACGCCAGGATGCCAGCATAGACTCCAGGATCTCTCGCAGGGTTGAACCATGCGGGGTAGAGTTTTAAGTCGAAAGGTTATTAAACTTGCGGGGTATGAAGGCTGTGAAGTCTATGGACGAAACTAGGTGTAGGAACTCACAGACCCTGAGAGACCCGACATAGTATCCAAGCTTCAGCATGTGTCTACTATTTTGGATTCTGAAGCTTAGCGTCTTCAGCAGTCGGAACAGGGATGCCGCCTGATGCTCAATCAAATGAAGATTCGGAGGATTACTGTTTCGATGCTCGCTTGAATTCAGCATCTGCGCATTGAGACTCCTCTAGTAGGAAAGATTTTCGCGCCTTCCGAACAAGCCGCGCTTGAACATGGGGAATTTACGACAGCATCGCTTCATTGGATGGTTCAGCAGTGCTCGTAAGGATCATCGGATGGTGTCTGCTTGCATGCAATGTCTAGAGGATGATTTTGGTCCAAGTCCGCGGCCATTTGCCGTCCTCGATCAAAGTTTTTTGTGGGGCACATTCAATCATATCCCATCTATCAAGTGAAGGCATCCCAGGCTTTGGCTTGGGAGGATACCATGACTGGAGAACGTAGGCTTACCTATTTCCGGGTAGCACGGCGCTCCAAATCGCACTTGCTCTTAATATGTCAGCTTCAAGCGCTGCACACTCACACCAACGACCTCTTCAGCGGCCATTGTCCGCAAAAACCTTTCATCGGACCGAAAACCTGCGCCTCACGAATGCGACAGTGCTCGATGCAGAGCGCCTTCAACTCTCTGAACACATCTTTCACCGTGAGCCTCAATCGCGCAGGGTCTGAAAGAGCATCAGGCGCTTCAGTCATGGAACGAGCATGCCTTTAACAACGTCCCTGGGTACTTTGCATAGGCCGTAGCCGATCTGTTGGATGCAGTCATGGCTGGTTGCTACAAATCTTGGTCCTCACGTCTTACTGTCCTGTATATCCCTGCAAGCTTAACTAGTAAGAAACAGTGTGCTCAAATCCTGCAACTTTGACCTGGGCACATCGAAAAATAATTATGCGCAAACTTCTCACTTCTCACTTAAAGAACGCAGCTAAGACATAAGTCCGACGCACAACCTCCTCCCTCCTTGGGAACTCTTTGCTGAGACCCGCGCATTAGTAATGTCGTTCTGGATCAGCGAGGTAAAAGGGACACAGACCTAGGTGGGATCCAGGTTGTAGACTGACGTCTCCGAATTGGGAGTGTCCAGCTGAGGGGTACAGCCTGAACTCACCAGTTGCTAATCAGTTAAACTCAAATTAAATGTATTTCTGAACCGGAAAGCAAACTTTAGGTGGGTTTTTCATAGGCCTCCTATTCCGACACCTGAAGCAGTCTGCGAAGAAGCACAATATCACGAGCACTCTGCTTCCGGATTAACCCGACATGGTCGTGATTAGCTGTAGTGCTATTGCTGATTGCGAGCGTGCAGTTCATGACAGGTCAAGTCCCTCAGGGCAAAACATAAGACAAAACTGCTGCATTTGATTCCTTACATATTATGATGAGCCTGAAAATCGTCGGTAAGCAGCAAATGACTTGAGAAGCAATAGGTATGGATGATACCGACCTTCATCGCATCACTGAGTATATGAGTATACCGCTAGCCTTGATATTGAAGTGCTAGGCAACTTCACATTCATCATCTCAAAATGTTCGAAATTCCAGTTCAAAGCCGCAGAACTTGAACCTTAGGCTCGGAAGCAATTCCCTTCTTTGCTGTGCCCATCAGAGTACCCCTTCAGGCTGATCAGGAACAACGCGCCGCAGGAGATAGTCTGCGTAGGTACTCCCCCAACATCAGGCCCAACCTTGAACCCTCGAACTCCCAAAGCATGAAACTCCTGAACCCATGAACCCAGGTCTCAGCAGCTATGGGCGTTTGCGAGGCGGTAGGCTGTTGGGAGGCCTGGCAAGAATTTTTTTGTTGGTGGTTCGTGGTTTTAGGGTTTACTGTTGGGGTCTATGGTAGGGTTTAGGGTTTGGGTTTAGGGTTCGGGGTTTAGCGTTTAGGGTTTGGGTTTAGGGTTTCGGGTTTAGGGGTGTAGAGTGTAGCGCTCAGGTAGTGAATGAACAGAAAATGCAAAGTGACAACGGGGTTAGGGTGGCTAGCAGTGAACATAGGAACGGGCCAACACCAATTCATGGAAAAGACTACTATAGTAGCACTCCGTATATTTCGACTAATTAATGTAGGGATCCATTCCATATTCCCTTTTACGCACCAGCAAGAGAATCTCTTCCATTCAGCGAGGACCTGAGACCCCCTGCTTGTCGCGAGTATCCGGAATTGGGGGGGGGGTCCTTTCCTCCTGAGTTTCTGGAAGACACCATTCTCGTAGTTTTGTTTGCTGAACGGCATGGTGAAAGATCAGGATTCATTCTAGCACTACTTCAGATCCTATCCTGAAACCACCACAGAAACCTAAATCCAAAAGCTGGACCCGAAACTTGGCACCCAGAACCCGAAACCCCAATAGCCCATGAGCTAACCATCATACAGGGTCCTGAATCTCTGTCTGTCCGCAGAGTTCCCTTGTCTAGCAAAACAGGGGGCTTTGTAGAGCTTGAACTCCAGGGCCTTTTCAGGGATGGGGACAATGTAATTGCAATACGATGGGTATGGTTGGGATATATATGTCTATATATATGTACACAAGACTGATTTAGTAATAGTAATAGTATATATATGTATATATTTCGATATATATCTATATATACAAGTACATGTTTACATATGGGGAAATCAGGATATAAGATGCTCCCGCTCTTGAATGAACCGTCTGGGAGGCTTTACTTCGCTGTGTTAACCGGGCCAACCCCATTTGTAGACAGCCTAAAGGACAGCACTTGGTGGGGGACGTGAAGTGTAAGTTTGGGACTACTGGGGCCGCATGCATGTATTTTTGGGTTTGGGGTTACCAAATCCTCTTTTCAAAAATGTGAAAGAAGTCAGTATACCTGGATGGGGTGATTTGGTTCAGTTCGCCCAGAATCTATGCAAGCAGGGCGTCCCAAAGCAAACCACGCGACGGACGCATGCCTGGTTCAGAATGCGGCAGTGAGTAGTCAGTCCCAGTATGATCAGTTCCTATAATTCTTCCGCATTGCTTTCTAACACGTAGCCCCGCACCCTAAAGCCCAAGTGACATAACAGATTCCATTTTCTTTGGGAATTCAAACTACATGGCAGTTTCCATGTTCTCTGCATTCCCGACTAAGGAAGAAGCCCTGGACCTCCTGTCCAACTTCACCTCAATGAATCTTGAGGGGCAGCTCGGAGGTTTTGATATTGTAAAGGCCTGAGTAATCAGTGAGGCCATCCCCTTTTCTAGCCAGAACATACTTATACTGAATTATAATTGTGCCACGATACCCTCTTCCATCTTAAATCGTCAAAATCTAGGCCCCGGTAGCTGCAGGTTTGGTTTGAGGGGGATATATGGGGATAATGGAAAAGAAAATGGAAATTACTATATAGTATATTGGGGTTATATACGGATGATGGAAAAGAAAACGGAAACTACCATACAGTAAATTGGGGTTATATAGGGATAATGGAAAATGGAAACTACTATATAGTATATTGGGGTTATATAGGGAAAAGAAAATGGAAACTATTGAACTCCTGCACCAGAACGTTACGCCGCAGACGCGCCTAGGAACATCGTGGCCTACAATGTCGCCATGGCGGCCTGTGGTTCGCAGGTGGGATGGTCAATGAATAGTGTGATCTACATAAGCTTTACGGGTGCTCAAGGAGAATTGGGGGAATATATGGTAGTTTCCCAAAACCCCAATATAGACCCCAGAATACTATAGTCCCTCTTATGGGCACCTCTATATGTATATTTCTATATATATATATATATACAACTACGCGGAGTTGTAGCGGCTACTATGGGATCCGCTCCCCTACTCTGCCTGAAGCAGCAGCAAGTAAGCCCAAAGCCCAACAGAAGAAACAACTATGAATCCTGGGGCTTCTGCATTCCGCCTATATAAGTCATATTATAGCGCGGATCAGGAGAAGACATCTTCTGGCAAAGAACGCATAAACTACATGCCCAATTTGAGACTGCCACAAAATGATGATGACCCTTCCCTAAAATTGAGTCCTATAAACGCTCAAGTCCAGGAGCAGTGGAGGCTCGCCCTCAGCCTTATGGAGCATCTTCTTGAGCATGGGCCGCAGCCTTCCATCATCACGCACCGGGGCTGATCAAGCTTGTTTTCAAGGAGTGAAGGATTTAGATTACAGGAGGGATTTCAGCGTAAGCTTGGGCTTGGGCTGCGGGACCAACAGTTTGGGCGTGGGGCTTAGGATTCAGGGCTTCCTAATTAGAGCCTGCTGTTCGAGCGGGATAGCCGTGAAGGGGGTATGGAGTGTTATGCGCAAATGTTCTTGTCCTGCGTTCTTCAGCGTGGGTGCAGCTGCCATGCCCCACCTATTCACTCAGTTGAAGATTATAGTCCCCCGAAAGTAGACAGATCATGCGGCATATGGGGATCTTATTATCATAATTATTTGTCAACTGCATATTCTATCTACTTCAGGGGGATTATATTCCTGTCTGAACTAGGGAGTGTCCCAGGACGAGTCCTTTTTGGGGGGCGTCCTTTCTGAAAGATGTACGTAAATTTCCTTGAGCTGAGTGGGCGAACTTGGCTGCAGGAGACAAATGTTTCCTCCCAACGCCAGAACGTTCTATGTTGACGTGCTGTGTGACGAATGGTCCATGGAGTTTGGGAATGCGACCCTCCTTTTCCCAATCTCCTTCAGCTTCAGTTCGCCCATGACTCAGGTACAACTCCCTCATTGCAAGCTGCGGTCGAGCACAAGAATGGCAGCGTGCGCTTGCTTTGCTGGCAGAGGCCACCAACGAACTTCGGAAAGCTAGCTTTACTAGGCTAAGGCCGCCTCCCGGTTCAGGGCTTAGGGCTCAGGTTTTGGGTATAGGGTTTAGGGTTTGGGGCTTAGGGTTCAGGGTTTAGGGTTTAGTGCTTAGGGTCCAGAATCAGGGCACCTGAAACAACCAATCCTGGATTTCATAAGCTGTGATCTAAATTTTCCCCAACCATCCTTCAGACATTTGATTCATCCTAATAGAAGTACAAATAGTAGTATTAATAATAGTAATAGTAATCGTAATAGACGTAGCAATAGTAGTAGTAGCGATAATAGTACTAATCGTGATAGTTTGTGTTGACAGTCAAGCAGGATCGGTTTGCAGTGTGTCAGCTCCTGTGCTGCGAGCTGTGGAGCATTTGTGCCATTGAGATCCGGGTAATCTGGTCCCTAGTATGTCATAACGTGGGTTCTTGCAAGGAAGCAGATCAAGAAATACTACAACTGAAATTGAAGCTCTGGATGTTGTCCTGTGTTATCTTGTTTTTTTGCTGCTTTGTGGGCAGTGACTGTCCTTGTCCCTGGTCCTGTGAGCCCTGGCCATAACACAGATCATGCTTTTCCATTTCGTAGAAGTAAAATAGAATTTTAAGCATGTATCCTCAAGCCCTACTGAAATCATGCAGGCCTGATGTATGAATGGCTTATTCGTCTGCTAACTGTGTCAAAGTTGACTATAACCTTTAAGTCTTCGTGCTCCTAAAATTTAAGAACCAACTTTGGTTTCAATTTGAGTCAGCTCTCAATACGTAGTTCCCCATGATGAAGAAGCCTGTAAGGCCAAAGCATGGGGAGCCCGTAAATGAAAACCGTTTTCTGGCGAGTGCCAGCCTTAGAAGGGTTGCGGTTTAGGATTTAGGGTTAAGGGTTCAGGACTTTATTGAAAGTTACTGTAATGGAGAATGAAATGGACCAAGAACTTGGAACATGCCGTGGAAACTCGGTTTACACAGGGGTATGGAGATGCTCAGCAATTTTCGATGGCAGCAATGACTTGGGCAGACAGACGTTTTCCTCTTTGCACTTTCACAGCCATGTGGGCCATAGTCTAAACTCCTTAAAGAGGGGGGGAGTATATAGGGGACCATTATAGGCTAAACCCTAAACCCTGAACCTTAAACCCCAAACCGCAAACCCTAAACTCTTATTATAGGGGTCATTAAGGGGGATACTAGGAGTTTAGACTATGGCTCACATGGAGCCTCAACCCTAGGTCCTAAACCCTAGATGGATCCCAGAAACCCTGCGAACCACGGTAACCCCTAGGGTTGTGCCTGTTGAATGTCCTTTGACCTACTTTGGACTCTTGGTACGAGTCACAGAGAACACATCTCTTAAATTCTTGATGTAAATCCACTTTAAAACGAAAAGGACTAACCCTAGGGTTTAGGGTTTAGGGTGTGGTCGCAGGGTCCATACATTTTGATTCAAAAGCCAACACCCTCTACCCTAGAACCTACAAACTCTCAACGCTGAACTCTGACCAGGTGGCACTTTACAATAAGTAGTAATATTCCCTGTTGTAGTACAAGGGGCCCTATCTACAAATGGTTTGAGGGCCCTTTAAAGTATCCTACACTCTAAATCCTAAATCCTAAGCCCGAAATCCTAAACCCTAAACCCCTAAGCCCAAACCCCTGAACCCTGAACCCTAAACCCAGAAGCTCGGAGGTTGAAGAAAGTCAGCTTCAAACCACGGCGGTCTCCTACAACGCAGCTCTGAGTGCGTGTGAGAAATCAGCGAGGTGGGGCGCTGAGGGTTTGGTAGGGTTTTGGGGGCTGGAGGTTTAGGTTTAGGGGGTTCTAGGGCAGGGGGTTTAGGGTATGGAATTCCAGAGTTTTCAAGCATGGTGTTTTGGGTTTGAAGGCGCCAGCAGGCGACTTGTGCCAGGAGTTAGTAGGTGGTGTACTTTCGCCCCTGCTTGCTGATCGTGTTTCGAGCTTGAGCACTGGGCAACCCTAAGCCGCACTACACAGAGGCATCCCGAGCCCGACGCCGCCTTCTAGATCCAAGGGAATGCTGTCCGAAAACTACGGTAGTCTCCTGCGGAGCTAGATTTCAATCTTAGCGTAGTATAACCCTAAGGAATTACTTAACATCATGAACAAAATAGAATAGGGATCCTTGATGGATCCTAATTGTCGGACCCCCTCCCAGGTGGCCGCAAGCTGTGCTGATCTTCGCTAACCTGGAGAAGGCCTGGTTGCAGCCAACTGACACGACTTGCGCCTTGACACACGTTTTTTTTGGCTTTAGGGTTCAGGGTTTAGGGGTTTATGGTTTAGGGCCAGGGGTTGAGGGGTTTAAGGTTTAGGTTTAGGGGTTTAGGGTTTAGGGTTTAAGGGTTTAGGGTTTAGGGGTGTAGGGACTAGGGTTTAGGAGGGTACATCGGGATGTCGAGGGACATATGCGCACGTTTTGGGTTGAGGATTACGGGGGTTAAGTTTGCCCTGGACCCTAGAGGAAGTTCAGGCTAAAGCTGAGCAATACAGATTTCAGGCATCTCAACCTAAAGCCCTTCGTGGGTACGCCTCACCCACTCTGTCATATTTTCCTTGATCCTACCCTACATCCCCAGCCCTCTCTTCCCAGAAGCAGCATGTGGTATATGTAGAGGCAGTGTTTTATGAGACGTTTTGCTGCCCTAACTTGGAATCTTGTATTGTGGTAATATAAGGGTTATATTAGGGTAATACTGGGATAATATTAGGGGGTTGTATTGGGGATATATGGGGATAATGGAAAAGAAAATGGAAACCACTATGGCTTTGCAATGTGGCGAGTCGGCAGAGGGATTGCGCCCAGGGGTATGATTTCAGAAATGCAAAGCACCAAAACCATGGCAAGCTGAATCAGTCCGCCGAGTTGTCCCAAGCCACTGAATTTAAGAGCTGTGGAGCATGAATTCCGAAATCCCTAAACCCTTAAACCCTTAAACCCTAAACTCTAAAACCGTAATCCTCGCGCTTCTTCGTCTGCCCTTTTTTACCTAGCCAACTGGCAGCAGTAGATTGTATATACCAAGCCCATCTTGGTTTTCTCAGCTGTGCCTCGATGAAAGCATTCGAGTACGTGGTGCTGCCCTGGGAGTTTCCCGAAAGTGCCCCATGTAGAATCCTTCATGACCCATAGTGCCTTTCCAGAGCTTCACGTGTCGAAGACACCCCGCATTCCTTCTTGTGAAGGCCACAATGTTCATTCATCGAACTGATAGTGGCTTTGGGGGACGATTTTTTTCAATCAACAGGATCATCGCTAATTGGCCGCACCTGCAGCTAACTGGGAGTCCAGAATTGCCCCAAGAAACACCAAGCTCCAGATTGTGACCCACCTTAGGCGGTGCTGCAGTCAGCTCTTGTGGGAAGGGCTGGCGGTGGCGACACTCCATAGCGCTGCTCAGTTTGCAGCTTTGTTTCAGTCTAAGGTCATGGGGTTGACTTGAAGATGTGTGCCAGCGCAGTGGGGCTGTATGCCCTTTAAAAGGACTCCTAACCATTGCAGATGATCATTCATATGGATGGCGACTTCAGGCGGCGGCGCAGCCGCGCCGAAGCTAGCAGCAACAGCCGTAGCTACTGCTGCTCCCCATCCTTCCATCATTACTTGAGACGACAAAGGCAGTCATAATTGCACAGAGACCGAAACAGCTTAAAGGTGTACACGAAAGATGTTAAGAGGGTTTGATGGCAAGGGCAGGAAGAGCGATTGAGATAGCAAGAAGATGCGCTGTGAAAACCTATTGCAAGTTAAGGAAATGTGTATGCGAGCCCAATTGAAACAGCACAAGTAGAATTTCCATGAAGAGGTCTGGGACTGGTGAACTGAATCAACAAATAAGCCACGGATCTTGAACCCGAGCCACAGAAGGAGACAGGCAGGAGCTAAGCCAGCTAAGAGAGAGCTACATGTCCTGCCCTGCGGCACACCCATCCAAACTATGCATGGAAAGAGCCATGAACAGAGCTGAGAGGGAGCAGTGGATCTTGCGCACAGGCCGCTGCGGCCCATGCATGCAAACGACACAAATTCATGCTGTACGCTTTGGATGCATTTCGTTTTCATTTAAGCCCGTCTACAAGTTGCCTTCATTTTGCACCATCTCTCGCGCATTGAATGACGTTCCCTCATTTACCATGACCGCTCTGCGGTTGTTTGCCGGACTACTACGACTGCGATTGCTACAACTGCTGTTCCTCGTCCTCCTCCTTATGCTCCTGCTCTTCCTCTCATTCTCCGCATTTGTAGTGCCGCGATGACTGTTACTGCTGATTATTTGTACTGTTGTCATCATTATCCGCCAAAGCCCTGAACGCCAAGCCCCGACAACCGAGGTTTTTGGCTGATTCCAGTCGTTTGTCCTTGCAGCCCACTGCCATCCTTCTGGAGGCTGCAGCTGCGAGTTGCGCGCGAAGTTTGGCTCCAAGGTGGGTGCAGGTCACTATGTTCGGGTTATTTGGGGATAATGGAAAAGTGGAAATTACTATAATGGGGTTATATAAATTGGGATAATGGAAGAGAAAATGGAAACAACTATGTAGGGTTTAGGGTCATATTTGGGAGTAGAGGATTCTGGCTTAGGCTTCAGGACTTGAAGCAGACAACTTCTGACATTGCAGGCAGAGGAACTAATTCTTGCGCGGCTGGTCTCTAGGTTGCTTGATGCTTTGCGGTCTGCAAACCCCGCTCCCAGCGGCATCCTGCGTGGTGGGGGGAGGATCGTCTGACCATGCCCACCCCTCGGCTGTTTTTCAGGGATAGGGTTATATATATATATATACAAATATATACTGGGGGGTTATGTAGGGATAATGGGAAAGAAAATGGAAGCTACTATTTAAGGTTTAGGGTTCGGGGTCTAGGGGTGGCTCAAGAAGCATGGTGGGTTCCTCAACACCGAAAGGGCTCCTGCATCTGGGGGCCCAGGGAACTCGATTCCCGTCACCGCCCAAAAGGCGAGGTCCAACCTTTGAATACAACGCAAAATGTTCGGCTCTTCTTGGCCAGGTTTAGGGTTTAGGGTTTAGACTTTAAGGTTTAGGGTTTAGGGTTTAGGGGTTTAGGGGTTTAGGGTTTAGGGGTTTAGGGTTTAGGGTTTAGTACAATTTAGAGTTTAGGCTAGCAAAAGCCCAACAAAACAGCCCAGACTGTTGTCTTGAGAGCAATGAATAGTGCATCAATGGGTACACTCCCCCAAACAAACATGGAAGCCCATGTAGACCCCCTTTAAAGGGACTGTGGTCTGTATAGGGCCCTTTCTGGGTTTCCATGTTAGTTTGCAGGAGTGTAGTACTTTGCTTGGGGATCCCGTAGTCCCCATTTTTTTGACAGCTATAGTCCCCCTCAAGTAGATAGAAGATGGGGTATATGGGGATCATATCATAATATACCCAAAGCAATATTCTATCTACTTAAGGGGGACTATAAAATCAAATTTCTATTCAAATGAGGCGCCTGGGCATGGCAAGGGGGAAGCCAGCTGTTGGGGCTTCTGGCAAAGGAAAGGTTTTGGGGTTCAAGGATAAAGGTGGGCTTTCCCCGAAACTCGTTGCAAAATGGGATCCAAAAAATTGAGCCCCCCCCCCCCCAATATGAACCCATTACTACATTGGGGAATCTAGGGGGATTATTAGGGGTTTCCGAAAAGTTCAGCGCCATCCTGCCCAGGATGTGGTCAGTGGGAGCAAGATCTTCTGCTGCTGCATGTCAGCTCGCTTGACCCCACGGCTCCTGGGCCGTGACTTGTGAGATCCTCCTACGCCGTAGGTGTAGGGGCCTGAATTCTTATAGTCATGTTTGGGGGTACATATTTTGTGTTACCACAGCATCAGGATTATGCAGGCATTTCTACTTCTTCAGGCTAGGATTCTTAGTTAGAGGTTGAATGAATTCTGTCATGCATGTCTTTCTACGCAGCGGTACCAGGCTTGAGGTGCACGCGCCTGCCATCCCCCTTGGTATCAAATTTGATGACTCATAGGATTGGGGCTTAGGTCCAGGGGATAGGGTAATCCCTAAACCCAAACCTAGGGTCTAGGGTATTCATGTACCAGACCTTGAAGTCTACTTTAAGAAAAATCGTTGTAGACACCCGTTCACTGGTCCACGACGCTCCTGCCGCCCTTGTTGTGCATGTGTTGATTGTTTCCTCCACAAGTCAAGTGTACTATACTAAATTGTATTCTACAATGTTACACCATATATGGTACTATCATATACAGTCACCTACTATATTGGGCTATGTTATACCATATAACATTACAGTACACCATCGTCTACTATATCATACCGCCTTGTAGTATACGTGTTTAATGTTGGCCTTGCCAAGTACCAATCAGATTGGGAGTTCAATGAGGGCAGCTTGGGATGATGCAAGGTGGTAGAGCTCAGTATATTGTGGCACATTCTAGTACAAGATGGGATAATCTATAGCATAATCTAGTAGGTTATAGTATACTTCAGTATTCTAAAGAATAGTACAATATATTATTCTATACTATGGCGGGATAGTTGCAGGCATCGGTCTGCGTAAATCCGATAGTCCCCCTTAAGTAGATCGACCATGGCTTTGGGCATAATAAGATCCCCACATACCCCATATTCTATGTACTTAAGGGGGACTATAAACCTGAACGTCGAAGTAACCACATGCTTTGCATTCTATTTGCCCATTTGCAGAAGCATTTGGACTCCATAGGTTAGGCTTCAGGATTTGGTGCTTTTGTGGTATGATTGCAAGGTTTCGCGCTTAGGCCTACGCCCAAGAGGTGCAATCAGAAGTAAGAAATGTCTGACAAGGATATCCTACAGAATGGCACCACCAATTGAGCCTGGCATTCTTTTCCGTGTGAAGATTGTCAGCTCTGCGAATCCTCAAAAAAGAGCTTTCAATGGAGGTGCTCAAAATCCTAAACCCTAAACCCCCAAACTCTAAACCCTAAACTCCAAACCCTAAACACTGAACCCTAAACTCCAGGCCCTAAAACCTGAACCCTAAACCCCAAACCCTAAATCCTAAACCCTAAACCCTAATCGGGTGCGGAGAATGGAGTTCTGGGGGATCCGGTCAAGCTGAACCTTCTATCCGCACGAAAGCCTTTTCGTCCCCCTTAAGTAGATAAGGTTTAGGGTTTAGGGTTATGGTCCCCCTTAAGTAGATCGAATACGGGGTTTAGGGTTTAAGGTTTAGGATTTAGGGCT